CTTGGCACCTCAAATATCATGTTAATGAAAGTACGTCAATCTGCACGCTTGGGGGGAGATCAGAACCTCTCTCTTTCGACCTTCTCTTTCTTAGAGTTGCCAGTTCCACTATTTCCATTTCCTCAGGTCTGTCCGACACACTTCTTGAAATATCCCTTCTAGATGAGAGTCTTAATTTGCCTTTTCAGGTTGTAACAGTCGAACGTGTCGTGGTCGTGGTTCTTGTGGAAGTGGCAGTTCTTCGACTTGTTGCGTTTCTCAAGTTCCCGATGCATAGAACTTGGTTTAGTGAAGACGTCAATGTCTTCAAATCTTAGATGTTGGTGCAGATTTCTACCACGTTCAGCAAGTGAATCTTTCAAAATTTTCAGGTCGGTCGTCCGACCTGTAGTTGAATCATCGATCTAAACATTGACTATTCTTGTGCTTGTGGGATGACGTTCAGCTCTCGTCATCACGACCCTTCTCTCCTTGGGTGAGCTACCTTTAGCTGCGTGCTCCTCCTATGATTGGATGAGCTCGTTGGCCTTCATGAACTTCCTTACTCGCTCGATTGTAGCCTTGATAATGAGCTCGGGTTTTTTGGCAAGGAAGTATTTCAACTTCTTGTGTCTACGTTTTAGGCGAACGCTTCACAGGCAAACTCCTCTTTGCACAACACCGTAATTTGCTTGGTTAGTAACCTCTTCACGTAGTCTCTGAGGTTTTTATCCTTCCTTTGTCAAATGGTGAGGAGATACCTGGTTGAATGTTGTGTTTCTTGCCATGTGGCGAATTGAGCGATGAAGACTTTTCGAAGCTGCTTCTACAAAGTCGGTACCACTTCCTAGCTAAGCCCTACACTATGATGGAGAATGCTCAACATTTCATCGCGTCATGGTATGCGTGGAAATCCATCATGGACTAGGTTTCTACGTGATCTACTAGGTCAGCGAATCCATCATATTTGTCGAAGTTGGGAAATTTACCTTTAGTGGAGATCGGGTAGTTAAGATCGTCTAGGTGAATTGAGGCTCATTGTAGTCGGAAGAAGGCCTGCCCTTGGCCTTCTCACAGCTCCTTGAATTGTTCGAGCTGGAGTTGCAAAACCACGTTGTTGACTGATTATGATCGAGTTGGTCGTTCCATGTTTACATCTAGGTTACGATCCAGGGCCTTTCTTAGGTCCTCATCTTTCTACTAGGAAGACCGAGTGGAAAGGAATGAGCGGAGATCTTCGTTGGGTCTAGGCCAATTGTTTCCCCCATGACTGGTTGGGAGGGTCAAGGGTTTGCTACTTCGTTGCGCTTTGTCCATCTTCCTTTGTTTTCCCTTTCATCTAGTCTCGGGAAATCTCAGGCTCAAGTATCTCAGGGAGTGTCATAAGGATTGTCAAGACCCTCCAAAATAGTTACTAATTTTACTAAATTTAACTTGTAGAAGTAGTGAGACCAGGTCGAATCCCAAGGAAACCAATGAAATTAATTTCTCAAAGTTAAGAAAATGGGGGTTTTGAATTCAAATTTTGAAATTTAAATAGATAAACTAAAAGGAAAACGAAAGTCAATCTTACCAAACTTCCAATCCAAAGGTATGATTTTCATCTAATTGTAATTTTGATCATAGGCTTTACACAAAATTGGTTTCTTGATTCAAGAATTTAGTCTATTTATTCGAAACAGTCGTGGTAAGTTTTAATTCACCTAATTTAATTAATTTAGACCAAGCATCAAAATTAAATCTAATTAATTAATCGACTGAGCACGATAGAGTTCTATATCAATCAAAGAATAGCATTAGGGATAATGAGAATGTCTAAACCAAAATCAATTAATTTGAGATAGCTACAAGTGAATTAATTTTGTCCCTTTGTTTCCCTAGAGTCTATTATGCAAGCTATGTAAACATGGAAACCATAAATATACACACATAAGCCAACTTCTTACTACTTATTTCATTCATACAATTACGGATCACAAACTCATGGGTAGTAGTAGAACAATTAATATGAATTAAGGCGTCAATTTAATTAATATAAACTGTTCATAAATAATAAAAACAAGAAACAAGGAATATTTGAAAAATAATAAATCTATCTAACTTGAGCCACCCAAACTTACAATCTGACTTGAATCACCCTTAAGTTGGAGAAATTAAATTCTAGCTACTCATGGTAGAGGGAGAGAACTTGAATTTAGGAGAAGAGAGCTTTTCGTTGGAACTGGGATGATGGATCTTCCAATAAGGCTTCTCTATGTATAGAGGTTAATTTTATCCTCTTTTAAAGACGAATTATCTCTAATAAGAAATTCCTGAATAATTAGGAAGATCCTATTTAAAAAAAAAAACAAATTAAATAAAAGAGTTCCTAATCAATTAGGGATTATGTTTCCTACTTTGATTATATCTCTCTATTTACAAAATATCCTAAAAATCCATAATTCTCAAATTTAAGCGTCCCGCCATAATAATTGTGTATGTATTTTATCCGTTGAGCTTTCCCTAATTTGATGAAGTTCGCATTATCCTCTAAAATTATGCTTTTAAATTATTATTCTTGAATATCTTCAATTTGCTGCAAAATGATAAATTGTAATTAAATTCAAATATTTAAACATAATAAATTTATAAAATGTAAAATAAATATATAAAATATGGGTGTATTTTTCATCTTATCAAAGTGTCGCCTCAGAAACCTACAGCACCTCCGCCATGACCTCCATTCGTGCCCTCATGTCGCCGACCTCGTCCTGCAGGTTGGCCACCTGCTCATTGGCGACAGAGAGCACATCCTCTGTGAGTCCACCCTAGTTCCTCGACGATGGAGGATTTTCGCGTGTTTAGTTTCGTGTGTTTATGATCGTTAAAGAACAATCTTGGTCCTCCGCATTTCGGTTACTTGAACCTTGGGAACATTCAATCGTCTTTATGGGAGAGTGATTGGCTTGACTAGACGTTGTTCCCCACAGACTGTGCCAATTGTTTATGCTAAAATCTTCTTTACGTTGTTGAGCGACACGTGCTGAGCCCTAGCGAGCTCTTGGGCAAGCGAGCTGGAAGTGAGAGACCTGCAAAAACATTTAGAACACTCCAACGCTCAAGTTAGTTCTGAGTATGAGCTGGACAGATCAGTTTCAGACAGATTTTCATACCTGATTGAGTGGAGTGATGGTGTATTTATAGGGGATTAGATGGGTGGTTGCCTATCTATTTCAACTATTCAACTGTTTTTGGGATATGGGGACCTACTCCTCGCTGTTGACTGAACCTTGTGACATCATAGCTCGCCTTCGATGAACTCGAGGGTAACCCTATGATCCAAATCAAAGTGTCGATCTTGGAGCTCAGCCTAAACCTTGGACCATTAAGCTCTACCTACCTGGCTCGTGTCTTTGTTTCTTCCAACACCATATTTGTTGAATAATTTATTAAAATAGAAACATATAATAATAAATAAAAATAATAACATGAAATGCCACCCAAATTTTTCATATTTCCTTTTTTAGAAAATAGTTTAATTATTTATTAAAAATATATCACGAGCAACTCGATACTTTATATATGATCTCCCTCTAAGACAAGTTTATATATTTAACATTAAAAGTGTAAATATTTGAGATTGCAGACCCTTAATATGTTAAAATTGACTATTTATGTAATTTATGGTACCTGCCAACGGAGAAAAACAGAACAAGTGATTCTCAATAAGACAATGCCCAATACATATACTTTAACCAAATTTAAGCCTGTCCTTTGAGCGAGGGTGGCCGATTTAGAAGACATTAGCCACAATGCACAGCCTCAACAGTCCAAATGACAGCGCAGCACACTCTTCTCCAAGTTTCCATCAACAATCTTGGTTTCTTCCTTCTTTTATTTACACCTATTAAAAGCCACCACGTGTACTTTATATATTATTTCTACATTCTTTATTATGTTCACAAAACCCTAAATGTGGGTGCGATTTTAGTTGATATGAAAGATAATTATTTCTAAGAACATAATTTTGATAAGGGTATTCTTGTCTATTTGTAGTTCATGACTCCAAAATTCAACTTCTAATAATAATATGAAAGATAATTAGCATAGACTATAATTTCAATTGTGGAAAGTCTGGGCAAGTTAAAGTTGTGCACATTATTGACACATAAATCAAAATATTACAATCCACAAATTATAATGAGTGGTCAATCTGAATATAGTTCAAATATAAATATCTGATCAAAAGATTGGGAGTTTGAATTTCTACTCTGCATGTTATACTAAAAAAAATCACAATAAATGAAAAAGAGATCCGTCTTATTTGCCCAAAAAAAGCATGATTTAAATTTAAAAGATAATGGACAAAATGTAGTTGTTGAAAGGTACTTATGCACAAACAATAAAATTATTTGTTTTTAATTAGTCAATAAAAGTAGTAGAGTGTTTTGTCTATTTCCTTTGGAATATTAGAATAAAATCTGATTAGCATGTTACACGCAAATAAATAAACAAACAAATTAAACTTTTTTTCTTTCTGAGACAATAAACAAATAAAATCTGATTAGCATGTTACATGTAAATAAATAAATAAAATCTGATGGAAAATTGCTTAGATGACTCACGCTCCCAATAATTGTGGTTCATCGGTCGCAATAAACTGCAATCATTCGAAAATTTTATATGAATAAAATAATTTTGTTTCATTTTCCTTAAACTTGAAAAAAAGAAATAGTTGGAAATTGACCAAGTTTTACCTTGACTAGATAAAGAAAAAATTGTACATTATAGAAAAGAAAGATGAACGAAAAAAAATCATGAATATATAATTGAGGAACAACCTATTTAGCTAAAAATAAAGATACAAGAATTTGTCTAAATTAAACAATATCATGGTATTGTGAAAAATGTGGAGTGCCCATTATTTCTAACGGGTCATCTTCACAATTATTAACTTCAAATAATTTTTTAGTCAAATTAAAAAAAATTGATAGTTATAAATAGTTCGAAGTATGGGAGTATTGTAAGAGAAAGAGATTGTAAGAGAGAAAGATGAATTGTGACCAAAGGATGAGTGATAAATCTCATGTAGTGTGCATCCCATTTCCTGTTCAAAGTCGTATAAACGCAATGTTAAGCGTTGCCAAACTTCTTCACCAGAAAGGCTTTTACATAACTTTCGTGAATACGGAGTACACTCACAAACGCATAATCAAATCTAGAGGCCCCAACTCTCTCGACGGCACACACAACTTTCAGTTCAAAACCATTCCAGACGGTATGCCCCCGCCTTCCAACATTGATGCACCACAAGACTTGCCTTCACTTTGCATCTCAGTTTGTGAAAACTTTCTCGCTCCATTTTGCAACCTTCTTTCTCAACTCAATGATGCTTCATCTCATAGCATCGTCCCACCGATTAGCAATATTATTGGAGATGGTTGTATGTCGTTTTCTGTTCAAGCTGCCTTGCAATTTAACCTCCCAATTACACAGTTTTGGCMTGTTAGCGCTTGTAGCTTGATTGGTTTTATGCACTATCGCGAGCTTGTAGAGCGAGGGGTGACTCCATTTAAAGGTATGCTCTAAAAACTCTTATAACTTACCTGAATTGAAAAGATCAAGGAACCTAACAATATTTATAAGATATATTTTGTTTCGCTTTGCAGATGAAAGCTATCTAACCAATGGCTGCCTCGAAACCATTATGGACTGGATTCCGGGGATGAAAAATATACGACTTAAGGATCTACCAAGTTTCATTAGAACAACCGATCCAGATGACATATTTCTCAACTTTTTCATTCAACAAACGAAGTGGACTCCAAAAGCTTCTGCTATTATTTTGAACACTTATGATGCACTAGATCAAGAAGTTTTGGATGCTCTTTCATGCTTTCTTCCTCCAATTTACACGATTGGTCCACTCCACTTATTTGCAAGGCAAATCAACGGTGGAGGCCTAGAGGAAATAGCAACAAATCTTTGGGAAGAGAATGGTGAGTGTATTAATTGGCTTGATTCCAAGGAATCCAACTCTGTGATTTACATAAATTTTGGGAGCCTTACGGTGATGACACTCCACCACCTCACAGAGTTTGCTTGGGGACTTGCAAACAGCAAGAAACCATTTTTGTGGATCATAAGGCCTGATCTTGTCAATGATGGTTCAATCATTTTACCTCATGATTTTCTTGAAGAAACAAAAAAAAGAGGGATGATTGCTAGTTGGTGCTCACAGGAGGAAGTCTTGAAGCACCCTTCAATAAAAGGGTTTTTGACACACAATGGATGGAATTCGACTATGGAAAGCATAAGTGGTGGAGTGCCTATGATATCGTGGCCATTCTTTGGCGATCAACAAACAACATGTCGATATTGTTGTGTGGAGTGGGGCATTGCATTGGAAATAGACAATGACGTGAAGAGAGATAAAGTGGAGAGTTGTATCAAAGAGCTAATGGAAGGAAAGAAGGGTGAAGAGATGAAGAAAAATGTCATGGAGTTGAAAAGAAAAGCAGAGGAATCCTACCTACCTGGAGGCTCTTCTTACCTAAACTTTGATAAACTAGTAGTTGAAATTTTACTATCTTAATTTTAGCACCACACAAAGTTGCTTGTGGTGGCCCCTCTTGTAATGGTTTTATTTTCATAACTTATATTTGAAGTTGCTATCCAACATTTATGGGCCGTTTGGCCCACAGATTCGATATCTATAGTTTGGATTTGTTAAACTTGGGGTTGATTTTAGGGTGCTGTGTAACTTGAGTTTGGGTAGCTTTTGAAGTATAGAGTTGTGTTGGTTAACCTGTGTTTCGGGTGCAGGGTTTAGTAGCTTAAATTTGTGTTGTATAATATTTTTTAGCTGTTTTTTCTTCTTCTATTGTTCAAAGAAGAATAGAATTTGTAGACAATTTTGTAGGAGATAATTAATCAATCTATTTTAAATTTTGTAGGAAGGAAGGAGGATGTTATTGGATTTGTGCATTCTCGTACCTTTGGACCGATGTAAAATAAGCCTCAATTGACTCTCTCCTCCCCCCTTACACACTATCATTCCCACTATTTTTTAGTTTTTATTTCTCAATTTTTCTTTTTCTTATAAAAATAATAATTTAAACAAATTCTTCCGTAATTTTCATAATTTCTTTTTTCTTAATTCCTATATTAAATATTCAAATATTTGTACTCAGTGGTCAGTACGAAAATTGAAAGGGGTGTAAGTGGGTCGCTTGGGCTCGATTTTGAAGCAAAACCGAAACCAAACCCATAACAAAACTGCAAAATCATAAAAACCAAGCCGCGCCGAACTGATAGTCTGTCGGTTTATCGGTTCGGCTTGGCGGTTTACCGGATTCGGACAGTCGACGCTGGTTATTCCGTGTGTTTAGGTTATTTTCAGATATGGGTACGTTCTTGTGACTGCCGACTAGATGGAGCGGATACGATGAAGAGGGTCGGAGGAAGACGGCGGAGAGAATCGGAAGGAGATAGTAAAGATCGTCGGAGACTAAGAGAGTTGAAGAAAGAGAAGAGAAGCCTTCTGTCGCGTGGCTTGGATTTCATTTGCAATAATTTTAAGTTTTTTTTTTTCTTTAGAAATGAATGCAGGCGCAACACAAGAACAAGAACATGAAAAAGAAAAGAAAAGAAAATGACTGGTTGAATGGGCCTAGTTTACATATGAGCTTCACTTTTAGGTGTCCACTAATATTTAGTTAAAGTTCGTATTGGCAAATAATTATAGTATTTGATATATGTTCGACATTTTTAAAATTCAAATTCATATTAATATATGAAAAAAGAAAATTAAATACACAATGCACAGCCTCAATAGTCCAAAGGACCCGGCAACATTCTTCTCGAATTTTCCGTCAACAAGATTTGGTTTCTTCCTTCTTTATTATATTCCCAAGAAGCCTAAATGTGGGTGCGATTTGGGTACCCTGGAGATATTTCCTTTCTAAGAATATAATTTTGATACGGGTATTCTTGTCCAGTTGTAGATCATGAGTCCCAAATCCAACTTCTAATAATAGTATGAAAGATAATTGGCATAGACTCTAATTAAAATAATGCAAAAATATATCATCACAGTCTAGATCATATATATATCTTTGATCAAAAGGTAGTTTAATTAAACTCTGTATTTTATAAAAAGAAATTCACAAATGAAGAGAAAAGAGATTGGTCTTATTTGAAAAAAAAGAAATATAAAATAGAATCAACAAAATGTTGTTGTTGAAAGGTATGGTCTAAAAAAATAAAGTATTTTGTTTTTAATTAGTTAATAAAAGTAACAGAATTTTGTCAATTTCATTTTCGATATCCGAATAAAATTCGGATTAGCTTGTTATTAAGGATGAACTATTGTTCAACTTAAAAAGTTAGGCTTATGGGTTCTTCCATTGGTCAAAGTATAAACTATATTTCACAAAATGACATTTATTTTCATTATTTTCATATTTGAATTTCGAGATTTGAATTTTTTTAAATCTCAAATTTGCCCTCAATTAATACTATTTGATTTAATGAGATTTGCTATTATATTTAGATAATTAAATTTAATATTTATTCAAAAGTTAACGATTTCCATATGATATATTCAAAATTTTAAAATACATTCTCTCGTGCGCCTCATCCGATTTTTCTCCCATCAATAATAATCAATCCTTCTAACTTTAACAAAACTTTTCCAATTCTCTATTTTCCTCCTCGTCGGAAACTACCATTACATCTTTTTTTTCGATGGCTTTTTCTTGTCCGGCAGTTTTTTTCAGTGTTTTCTAATAGTATGATAAACCTATACTCCTCGAAAAGGTTATTAGTATATACTAGATTATATAACAACGACCATTGTATAATACATTTTTTACTTTAATCTTCTAATATACAATATGATAAACATATACTCCAACAAAAGATTATATAATATATAATATGATAAACATATACTCCAATAAAAGGTTAAAAGTAAAAAATATAATATACATATAATCATATTGTAGGTTAGAAAAGACTAATTTGTAATTTTCTTATGGATTCCAACCATAAAACGTTAATGCTTAGACAATATTGTAAATTTTTAATAGTTAAGTCAATTTTATAATTTGAATTACGAAATAAGATAATTATATACTTATCTCAAATTTAATTCATATATCGGAGATATCTAACCTTCTACTAGCTTATGAATCTGGATAATGGTACAGTACCGAAAAGTAAAAATCATTCTCATTTATCGCAGTTACAGGGGTGTACTTAGGGTTTTGCACAAACGAGGCAAAATAAATAATAAAAAATTAATAAATTTGTAAACAATTTCTGCAGGCGCTCCAATCCTATTGGTTGGCCAGAATACCTTTTCCATTAGACACATCATATGTCCTTTGGCTGGTAGCGGCATTTTGAATTTTCCTCTTCACGCACCCAATAATTGTGGTTTGTCGGTCGCAATAAACCGCAATAATTCGAAAACTTTATAATATGAATAAAATATATATTTTTTTTTCTTTTTTATTTTCCGTAAACGTGAATAAAAGAAATAGTTGGAAATTGACCTAGTTTTACATTGAGTAGGTAAATAAAAAAATCTTGTGTTATAAAAAACAATAATAAAGAAAAAATGATGATATATAATTAAGGGACAACATCGTGATACAAGCCTTTTGAATGAAGCTAAAAAAAGTGACAGGAATTTATGTCTATTTGAGACAATATTATCTTATTATGAAAACCTGAGGTGCCCATTATTTCTAACCGATCATGTTCATAATTTTTAATGTCAAATAACTTTTTTCCAGATTCAAAACAAAAATGAAAAATTTATAATTATAAATAGTGTGAAGGAAATGGGGGATCATTATAAGAGAAAGATGAATTTTGATGTAAGAATGAGTGATAAGCCTCATGCTGTTTGCATCCCACTTCCAGTTCAAAGTCATATCAATGCAATGTTAAGCGTTGCCAAACTTCTTCACCAGAGAGGTTTTTACATAACTTTCGTGAATACAGAATACACTCAAAATCACATAATCAAGTCTAGAGCCCTCAACTCTCTCAACGGCACACAACTTTCAGTTCAAAACCATTCCAGACGGTATGCCGCCGCCTTCCCACATTGACGCACCACAAGACTTGCCTTCACTTTGCATCGCAGTTTGTAAGAATTTTCTCACCCCATTTTGCAACCTTCTGTCTCAACTCAACGATGCTTCGTCTCATAGCATCCCACCAGTTAGTTGTGTTATTGGCGATGGTTGTATGTCGTTTTCTGTTCAAGCCGCCTTGCAATTTGGCCTTCCCATTGCACAGTTTTGGCCCGTCAGCGCTTGTAGCTTGATTGGTTTTATGTACTATCGCGAGCTTGTAGAGCGAGGGGTGACTCCATTTAAAGGTATGCTCTAAAAACTCTTATAACTTACCTGAATTGAAAAGATCAAGGAACCTAACAATATTTATAAGATATATTTTGTTTCGCTTTGCAGATGAAAGCTATCTAACCAATGGCTGCCTCGAAACCATTATGGACTGGATTCCGGGGATGAAAAATATACGACTTAAGGATCTACCAAGTTTCATTAGAACAACCGATCCAGATGACATATTTCTCAACTTTTTCATTCAACAAACGAAGTGGACTCCAAAAGCTTCTGCTATTATTTTGAACACTTATGATGCACTAGATCAAGAAGTTTTGGATGCTCTTTCATGCTTTCTTCCTCCAA